TGTATAGGGTCAGTGACCCTAAATAAAGGCTTTTTGTTGTTGTTGTTGTAATGAACCATTTGACCATATAGTTCCAGACTGGAAGTAATTCAGGAAGTAAAATTGAAGTCTTGTACTTCGAGAAGTATTTGTAGCTTCCTGTGTAACAGAAAAGTTTATTTATTTGTTAACATCAAATCAGAAGCGATATTCCTACAAGGAATGCTTACGTCAAGAAACAACACTAAATTCAGAGAACTATTTTACATAAACAATTAGTGAATTACAAGATTTGAGTAAAAGTTTAAAGAAGAAAAGAAAAGAAAGTTGGATAGAAGAGATACCTTCTAGAACGTTTAGGTATATTGATCAAATTAATTTTTTAAAATATCAATCCTACCAAGATTATAAATTTAATCAATTAATTCAATTTCCGTGACCATGTATAACTATACAATGGGATAATAACAAAATTTTAATGTAAAAAGAGAACTTCTGTCAAATTTTAAGGTAATTGAGAGTTTTATTTATTAGAACCTTTTCATACAACACCTGTAAATTACAAGAGAAGGAATCGCCTGACATCATCTTGAAGAAGGAATAAAAGTTAACGGCGATGTGTTTCTTTTATTAAATCCGTAAATTCGGCAAGTTTTCGGACTTTGACGTCCTTCGACAGGCAACAGTGGCCGTTAACTTTTTTCCCTTCTTCAACACCTGTATATGTTAATATATTTAGTGTTTAAAGGTGAAAAATATGTACAATGGCCTCTTTAACAGGACATTACAAATTCATATTTAATGATTAGCCGTCAATGATGAGGCACTGAGTTTGTTTATACGAAATAAATACGTTGTTATGCCTTGACAAAGGTTGGCGTTTAGCCAACCGAAATATTGGCAAATAAATCATTTTATTCAATCCAATATATGAATTCTTTTTACTTAAATATATATATGGTTCAATATTTAAAAAAAATTATCCCCACACATAGAAATAATTTTAATATATAAATTTACATATTAAAATTATTAACCCATCACAACATAAAACAAAATATTCATATCGAAATTAGAAATATAATATATTTTATTCAAGACATTAAAATATAATATCTTAAAAAAAAAAAAAAAAAACGAGAAAAGTGGCAGAGAAAAAATAGTCTGAAAATGAGATATCAAACAACCAAACAATATATAAAAAAAGATGGCGGGTCCAGTTGTGCTACTCTCGTCTGGTGACAGCTGACAGCCAGCAGGTGTCGCTATTTTCGTCTGCGTCAAGCTTTTTCTAAAGTTAGGACGTCCGACGTTATCCGAGACCTCCCATCGAAATATTTTGGCCTTTTCCCATATATAGATGGCCTTCTCTGAGTAGCGTCGTTTACTTCCCCGCCATTTTACTACCCCTTATCGCCATTTTGTTCTTTTTCACTTTTTTTCTTCTGCTTTTAATTTCCACCATTTACTAAAATTATTTTTCGATTTTTTTCTTGACCTATCAAAAATGAATTATCAAATTATCAAATATTAAATTGAAGCTATTTTTGTAGAGAGAGAGTATTTTAAAACAATTATATACATTATTTATTTATATATACTAAATTGTTTTTTTCTAAGATTATTCTGAAAAAATGTAAATATTCTTAAATATTTATAGAATAATCATACAACACAATTATATTAATTGATATTACTAAGATTATTTGACATCTTGTGGTATTATTCGGCTCTGATATAAAGACCGTTGAGGCCCCGTGAACGTCCAATGCCTA